TTAGCCCCCCTCCCCCCCCCCCCCCCACATGGGCTTGCCTTTAATTTATTTTTGCATGATTTAAAACCAAAGGAAAAACCAGCCCTCTCTAGCAGTGGTGCTCCGGCGACTGTAAGTAAAAGGGGCAGGGTTTGTACCCTCCTCTTGTTTGGACAGGGCCTGACACGGTGGCGCCCTGTCCCCGAGCGCTCCAAAGTAAATAATAACTTGATTTATCCGTTGCTGTGCTGCTTCCTCTCATGCGTGCTTTTGGAAAGCAGGCGCCACCTTTAACTCGGCTTCCTCCCACGCACCTCTTCTCCCTGATGGAAGTACTGCACGGGTGGGGCGGGGAGTAGCCATATTCTTGGTGCTACTTGTCTGCTCTTCTTGGGCCAGCTCCCCTGACGGCCACCGCCGACACCCACACGTGCACAGAAGGGGAGTCGGGCATCAGCTACCACAGTGCCGAAGCCCAGGATAGATGCCAAGAGCTACTCCTTGTGACCCGCTGCAGCTGGCACCTTTCTCTTGCCACGTGCTTGCAAGTGGCATGCGTGCAGGGCAAGCCTGGGGTCTTGGGACGCTGTGGCTCCAGGTTGGCCGCTTTGGCTGCATCTCTGCCGCTCTGCTACAGCGCCGGGAGACGCCCTGCTGAGATGTCGGGCTCACTTTGTGCGCGTTACCTCCTGACCTGGAAGTAGCCCGGCCGCCTTCGTGGTGCAACTGCGCAGAGATTATAAACCCTGCTAAGAATAGCTGGCGCCGCCACCGCAGCCTATAATCGAAGAGGCGTGATGCTCTCCGTCAACAGGCCTTTTCTCGGGTGCTTTGCCCGGCGGTAGGTGGCTGAGCTGAAGCGTCACGTGCTGGACGTCTGCTCAGTCTGCGTTTGCTCATAAAGAAACCGTAGCCGTTTCTGAGAGCGAGGGCAAGTACGTGGGTTCGCCCACGTTAAGTGTTAAGCTAAAACAGATACGCGGCATCGCGTCGGCCGTTGATGACCCGCGTTGGCGCAATGACACGCGGTGGAATTGCTGTTTTCTTCGGTTTGCCTTTTTAAATAATGAGGAATTATAGCCGCGAGGACGCTAAAAGCGCGTTATTAGGGTTGCGAGGTCAAGCTCCCAAGCTAGAGACTGCCGGGAAAAAAAAATGCCTCTGCAAACTGTGGTTTTGTTCTCTTGCGAATTATGCTGCTTTGTTTCAGGGTTGTCCAGCTTCTACATCCCAGAAGGTGTACCGCAGGCGGCTGCACCCCAGGGATGCTCCCATCTCCCCACGTATGCCCCAGGGATGCTCCTCCTGCCCATGTGGGCACCCCCCGTCCCATTGCTGCCTCGGGTGCCTCTCCCACTGCTGCACTGTGCGGGCCAGCCTGGGGGATGCATTAGCCCTGTCCGGCGAAGGAGGCTGTTGGGTCTAGGCTCCTCGCCTCACGGGTTGCAGAAATCAGAAGGTGTGTAGTAAGCGAGAAAGGATAGTTTGAATGCGGAAAATGCTGGGAAATAGGACCCCCCCCCCCCCC